AACAATGAGTGGGAAAAACCGAACCGAAACCCAGAAACCGGCCCTGGCTCGGCCCGAATTATGATATCAGTCCGGGTTTTTTCTTTTTGACCGGTCCGAATAAAAAAAAACTGGGCCGAAGCCGAAATTCCGGGCTCATTAACAGGCCCTAAAATCTATAACCCGGCCAGGACCGATAAAAACCCGAAACAATTAGCTTTATTATAAAATCAATATAATATAGCAATATAATTTATAAATTAATTCCTAATATATGATTATAATCATGATGGACGAAAAAATGACTTAATAACTTTTAGTGTCTACAAGTATGTTCAATTTATTTACCGTAATGACCATGAAAACATATTTATAGTAACTTTAGTCACATTTTTATCCATAAATTTATTTCATAACATTTTTAGAACACCTATATTATTTGTTTTTATGCATCTTGAACAAATTAAATATTATGATAATTGTCTTCTTTGGATTTGAATTCTTGGTGATTTTGGAGACTAATATTTGTGCTTTTTATTAATTTTATTTGCAGTTTGTACTTTTTATTAATTTTATTTGAAAATAGATTTTAAAATATAAAAGAAAAATGAGTGATTTCACAATCGGGCTTTAACCGGCCCAACCCGAACTGGCGAACCCGGACCGAACCCGGACTACAAAAAATCCGACTCGGATCGAATATAGTGAGCTTTGTTTTGGTCCCTAATTTTCATAACCCGATACTTTACGAGTAATTTATGGATTTAGCAAAAACCCGACCCGGACTGAACCGATCCCACCTAAGTCAATGAGATCGACATATAAATGATGGCTCTAAAAGGAGCATCGCAACTTAGATCGCAAATTACACTAAAAATGAAGCTTATTAATTACTTTGGCAACTAAAGTATTCCTACCGCTCATTTAATTAACCAACTTCTGAACTGACCTCATATGCAATAAATACAAAATAAATAGAGTTTAATAATTATAAAAATAAATTAAATAGTACTTGGGATTTTACCGTAGAAAGAATTGTAAGAATAATACTTCCTCCGTTCTTAAATAAATACAACGGTCAACATTACACACTTGCCGAGACGCAACTTTGACCATTAATATAAATGATTTTGTATTAGTAAAAAAATTAAAAAAATTAGATTATGAAAATTTACAATGAGACAAGTTTAACAATATTTTTTTCCATAAAATAATATTATTACATTAATAAATAAAACGTAGTGAAAGTAGAACATGTGAATAGTGAAAATGTCAAAGTGTTGCATTTATTTAAGAACATAGATAGTACTAAATACTACGTACTAAATAGCTTTTTTTTGACAAAAGGTGACTAAAACTCATTTGGACAAAAAAGTCACATTTCTCATCTTCGGCATTTCCGTTCTCGCATCCCCTATTCTCCTGCCATCAAAACATCAAAAGCCCAAAATCAGCCCAGCCCTAAATTAGCATCTGGCATTTCATCGCATCCCCAACCATGGAGCTTGTGAGAGTGCGATTGGAGCTCAGGTAGTGCTGCCGCCGCCGAAAGAATCGCCGCCGCCGCTCACCGCTGTGAGAGTCGCCGACACCAACACACCTCTTCTCTGAGGTCATTGCATCTGTTGTCTCGTCGCCACCGGTTGCAGGGGTAGCGAGGGGTATTGGGGAGGCTGGGGAGGGGGTTAAGTTTGGGGCTGGGATGTAGGCAAGGGATTGGGGCTGGGGAGAAGGGTAGAGGTTGGGGAGGGGCTAGGGGCGGGCTAGGGGCTGCGGTATGGTGGTGGGAAGTGGTTGGCCAGAACCTGGTGGTGGTTTGGTCACTGACAGAGAGGCTGTGGGCTGGGGAGGGTGGCCGTCGGAGAGGGGCAGGTGCGGCTGGTCGGTAACATGGAGGGGATGGTCACTTGATGGTCACTTGAGGGCGGCGGAAGATCACCGGCGACAGTGATCGTCGGAGGTGTCCGGATGTGGGATGGGCCCCAACACCGGAGATGGTGCGTCATTGTGGTCGGTGGGCGATCAGTCATTGTGGTCGGTGGGAAGGCGTTCACTATGGGTGGTGGATGGGCAGTCACTGTAGGCAGGCGGTGACGGTGACCAGTGGAGGGATAGTCACTGTGGGCGGAATCACTTTGATTTGAATCACTTTGCATTGAAGGGCTTAATTGTGATGTTTGTCTAATTTTTGGAATTTTTGAAAAGATGTCACTTTTTTTATCTTTTATCCCCTTTTGAATACTCCCTCCGGTCCTAGATGAAATTCACACTTTCCTTTTGGGTAGGTCCAAAATAAGCATCACACTTCTTCTCACTTCCTTATTTGGCAAATTATCTACATCAAAACAGTGCAAAATAGTGTCAAACAGTGTCAAACAGTGTCACAACAGTGTATTCTATAGTAAACTCAAATTTATTTCCTTAATTTGTGTGACGTCAAAGTGTGAATTTCATTTGGGATCGACGGGAGTAATATTCAGACCAAAAGGCCTTTACCATATATTACAAAATTAGAAAGTAAAAAGAATTACATATTTATAACTAAAATGAAGACGATTTACAAAAATGTGATTAGTGATTATAGTAATAATGAAATCATAGTAACTTATATTCGATTTTTAAACTGAAGTTACTACAAAACAATATTATCGTAAATAATGTTGTTAAAATACCATAGAAAGTAACCCCGGTGCAGTCTTGTGGGGAGGCTATGTAGAAGTTATTTGAGAGGTGAAAATAATATGTGTTGAGATACTATAAAGAATGAGATGCCCTTAACTATCCTCTTTTACCATAGCTATCCACTTTTACCACCATGCCTTTATATATACTACTACATCCGTCCCTTAAAACTTTGTCAAAATTGTTCGGAACGGGGAATAATAAAGTAAAAATTGTGTGGTTGAAGTTTGTGCAAAGGAGAGAGAAATAACAGAAATCACAAAATAATGGGATAAGGGTCAGATAGGGCCTCAAACTTGAAAAAAAAATGTCAAATAAGGCCATATTTAGGATGCTTTGTCCGGCCTACGCCATTTGAGACGGTTCCCGGTGGAATTTTTTGATGATTTTTTTTAGAATCTTATTCATTAAATTTAGTTTACTCATATCAAATTTGAACTAAAACTTCAATCGGGAAGGCATACAAATGAATTCTTGAAGATAACTGCGCAGTTAAAAGAGCAGTTATCTTCAAGAATTCATTTGAATGTCTTCCCGATTGAAGTTTTAGTTCAAATTTGATATGAGTAAACTACACTTAATGAATAAGATTCTCAAAAAAATTCATCAAAAATTTCCACCGGAAACCGCCCCAAATGGCGTCGGCCGGACAGAGCATCCTAAATATGGCCTTATTTGACATTTTTTCCAAGTTCGAGGCCCCATCTGACCCTTATCCCCAAAATAATTGATTAAAATGGAAAGTGAGAAAGTTTTTTGGGACGTCCCAGAAAAGAAAGATGAAAAAGTTTTAAGAGACGGAGAGAGTAATATAGAGTCTGATGTCATCTTCAGTCTCTTCATTTATCTAAATTAGATTCTCACTCGTGCGATGCACGGAACAAAATCTATTAAAAAGACATATTATCATTTATTATATAATGTTAACAACAAAGTATTCATAGTTAATATTCACAATGTTTTGAAAGAACGCAAAAATAAATATTATAGTATGATTGATTTGTTTGTCATTTTAAATACAAATCAATATTTGTTATGATTTGTAAATGCAACACAATATTGACTTTGACTATTATTTATAGTCATTAGATAAGAGGTTATGATCAATAATTGTAATCTCTGAAATCAATAATTGAATGTATTTTTGAATCATTAAGTTTAAAAACATACGCAGTTATTTTTTAATGATTTACAATAGAATTTTGACGTAATAATATTAACCTTGACTCTTATTTATAGTTATGACATAAGATGTCATGATCAGAAATATGGTTGTCTTTGAAATCAATCATATAAATGTAATTTTGAATCATTGAGTTAAAAAACTTACTTTTGAATGATTAATAATTAACATGGAGTAATATAATTATTACATTTGATAAAATTTTCACAAAATCAGTAATTGCTCCATAAATTATGTATGACTTTACCAAACATTTCGCTCATCAGAATTTTTAAAAACATAATGGATCCAAAAATCAGACCATTTAATGATGTACGGAGTTTTTATACTCAATCCTAATTGGACTATTTCCTATAGATTAAAACCCAACAATATTTTAAAATTAAAGGATAGTCCATTTAATCTGGTCCAAATGGTGGAACTGTTGGATAATATCGTGTCGCTCTACCTTGTATTAACTTCCGCTACAAAACACCGTCAATTTGGGTTGAATTGACTTTTTACCATGATAGTGACATTTTTGAGTGAGAAAATTGCCAAACTTTGCGCTATGCTTTGTATGTAGATAGATAGATGGTACAATCCAGATATTTATAACTCTATCTTCTAATTCCAAATAGCCCAATACCCAAATACAAGAGTACATCATCAACATTATTAAATGCACAATTACTTTACAGATAAACCCAACAAGAAAACAAAGTTTGGCCAAGTATGCCCAATCTATACAAGCACTACTCAAGCGGGCCTCTCTTAGAACTTTGGCATTACCACTCCTCTTATTACAAAATTTTAGAGCCACTCCATTACCCTTTTCACAACTAATGTGGACAAAAAAGCCACTCACACATAAACTTTTAGTTTGAAACAATAAACTAAACAAAGAAACTAATTAATTAACATGAACATGGTGGCCCAAGCTCTGTCGAAAAAGAACTGTTTATTCTATATCATGTTCAACTCGGGAGGGTGGCTTAGCTTAGTCACTCTCGTCCTTTTAATTTTCTTTTCTTGTCTTCGTTTTGTTTTGTTTGGATGCTAGTAACAACTCACCCAATGTTATACATGGAGACTAGGGATGTTTCTATTGGACAACTCACCCCACTGTCTAGTTTGTAGTGTATATAAAGCCTCCATCCAATCTTGGTCACTCATTCACCCAATACCTCTTAGCTAGCTAGCTAGCTCTTGTCACTCATTCACCTAAAGGGTAAAAAATTTGACCAAACATTTCCCAAATGGTCAATCAAGAATGCCATGTTGTTCCAAAGCCGTTGGATTTGAACGCCTCCATCTTCCACCACCAGCCAAACATCCCTGCGCAGTTCATATGGCCGGACGAGGAGAAGCCCACGGCTGACGCCCCACGCCTCGACATTCCCCTCATCGACTTGTCGGGCTTTCTCTCTGGGGACCTTGTCGCCGCTGAAGAAGCTTCGAGACTCGTAGGGAAGTCGTGCATGAAACACGGGTTCTTCCTCGTTTCCAACCACGGCGTCAACGGGGACCTCATCTCCGATGCCCACCGCTGCATGGACCACTTCTTCGAGTTGCCTCTTGGCGAGAAGATAAAGGCTAAGAGGCAACTCGGGGAGCATTGCGGCTACGCGAGCAGCTTTACGGGCCGATTCTCGTCAAAGCTGCCGTGGAAGGAGACGTTCTCTTTTAGCTTCTCGGCCGAGAAAAACTCTCAAAACACAGTCCAAGAATATTTCCAATCAGCAATGGGTGAAAATTTCTCACATACAGGGTACATATATACTACCGAGTACATATATGGCATTCAATTTTTCCATCTGTCTAAAACATGTCCATATCTTCATATTCTCTCTAGCATAAAATTAAACATGACCCTTTTCTATGAATATGATCACTAAATTAAATTTATTTTTAAAAAAATCATTGAAATGACATTATAGTGACCAGTTGTCAATGACTCATTATCTACCGATGACATGTCAATCCAAAATAGTGACTAGTCATATTTTCATCAAAAAACATAACTAATCATATTTTTGTTCGGTGAAAATCTATTAGTAATATACCCATATCATTTTTTGAATAAACATAATCATTGGTGATTGAATTTGGGTTGACTTGCAGGAAGGTTTATCAAAAATATTGCAATGCAATGAACAAGCTTTCACAAGGGATACTAGAACTGTTGGCGATGAGCCTAGGAGTGGAAAGGAAGAGCCTGAGAGAATTCTACGAAGACAACGAATCGATAATGAGACTGAACTACTACCCGCGGTGCCAGAAACCCGAGTTAACGTTGGGGACCGGCCCACATTGCGACCCGACATCGCTCACCATCCTCCACCAAGACAATGTCAGTGGGCTCCAAGTGTTTGTTGACAACCAGTGGCACTCCGTCCCCCCATGTCCCAACTCCTTTGTTGTTAACATCGGCGACACTTTCATGGTACGCTATACGTACATTACGTTTTTATTTTAAGTAACAAACCGTTGTCTCACCTGCCTCTAAGGCTAACCACAACTCTCTCTTTGCGTCAATGAATCAAATTCTCCATCAATTTATACGTATTCACTCGATGAATCGATTCCGTTTCTATTGTCGTTGTTTATTTATAGGCGCTAACGAATGGGAGGTACAAAAGTTGCTTGCACAGGGCAGTGGTGAACAACATAAGTGCAAGGAAATCACTTGCATTTTTTTTGTGCCCGAAGAAGGACAAGGTTGTGAGGCCTCCTGCGGAATTGGTTGACTCAAATAACCCGAGACTATATCCGGATTTCACATGGCCGACTTTTCTTGAGTTTACTCAAAAGCATTATAGAGCCGATATGAACACACTTCCAGCCTTCTCCGCTTGGATCCAAAACCACAATCACTCGTAGTTCTTTGCTCGGTCATCCCATTCATGATTGATTCAAACCAACTTAACTATATATATGGTCATAATGGTCTTGATTCATGAATGGTGATAGCCACCTACGTACAATATATATATTTATATATTCGGAATTGTGGAACGAAAATAGAGGGAAAAACACAAAATTAGTGAGTGTTCCTCTTTTTTTCCTTATTATGGAGTTAATTTTCTTGCCATCCCGGCCTTCACCGATTGATCGAATTGGTTTGTTAGGAGGAAAGAAATATGTCTGTAATTTTAAATTAAATGAAGCATAATAATGTATATGTGATGGGTTAATTATTTCATTCAATGTGATGTGATCAATTGAGGATAAGCCAAACACTCTGCTTCATTAATTATCTATTGTTTAATTGGGAACAAAATGATTAGAGCTCCAAACATCAGAATGAAATGACTGCCAACCCATATAATTGTAACATTATTTGATGTTTATTGTTTATTCTTGCAAATGTAATATGACAAGGGATTAGGGATGGATTAAAAAATTTGAGTTGCGGTGGATTATAGAGTAATTATACGATGTGTGTGTACTAATAAAGTGGGATAAATGGAAAATATAAAAAAGTTAAGATTAAAAACACAAACTAAAAATTAGATTGTGCTTGTCTTCAACTCACCATAGCCATAGTGTAGATCCGCTTGTAGAGACAAGAGAGTGATGAAGTTATTAATATGTGGTTGATATTGATGAGTTAAGAAATTAAAACTAAGATAAGAACAAATTATAACTTCGCAAATGTATTTAATATGATATGAGATTGATATACACAGTAGTAATGGTACGGGATTTAGTAGCAAGGAAAATAAAAGAAAGAAAACGAGACAAATATAATGGTACGAGATTGATATACACAGTAGTTAGTATAAGAGTAATAAAATATATAATTCAATTTGGACATTTATCATTTGGTAAGTGTTGGACTGTTAGGTTATTAAGTATTCACTTTCTGGATTTTCGGTCAGTATATAGAGTTTATTTAGTATAATATGGACTAGTAATAATACAATTTGGATATTTGTCATTTCATCCAGAAAGTGAATATTTAATAACCTAACGGTCCAACACTTACCAAATTACAATAATTGTACTAGCAATCTTATTTTGAACGACTACATATAATCTCACACTACTTAGTCAAGATACATTTTTTAAAAGAATTTCACTCATCCCATATTTTGAGTGAAATTAAAGTTCACACCCTGTATTCAAAAAAGTAAATCTAAGCAGTCGATCATTTGATTATAGTGATTAATGCATATACATGTAGTTTAGCGGTCTTGTACAAGTTACAACTCATGTATGCTGGGTACGTTGAACTTCTGATGCACAGGAGTATAATTAAAATTTATAAATATTGGACTGATTAGATCATAATGATTAAATAGATTAGACCAGACTTTCATAGTTATTAAATACACAAACATCAAACATTTATCAGAACAGACGAGTTCAAACCAGACTAGACAAAACTTAAAAGATCAGACCAAATCAGACTAGTTCATGAGCAAATTTCAATTAAAGTAATAATTATAGTGACATGTGTTATCTCTTGCACTAAATTATAGACTAAAATGTAGTCTTAGTATCTTCTTACCGACATAAATCCAGTCATTTTCTTGTGCATTTCCTTGCTTGTTTCTTTATGGTTCTTTAAGTTTTATTTTTTATTTATTTATATTTTTAACTAGACTGGGTTGAGTCTCATCACAATCATTAGATCATATACTACTTATTAGAACACATCACCTAATAAACTTAGACAATAATAAAATACGCATAAATCAGACAGACCACACTCAAATAGGTTAGATCACATAAGATAGAAAAATTTAATCCAGTTATAAAAATCTTTCATAACTATTCTGTGTAATATTCAAGGACTATATCAATCGTATGAACATGTTTAGTTCAGTAAAATTTTAAAAATTGTATAGTACATGCAACGATCGATGAAATTGTGGCGGGATTAGATTAATTAAGAAAAATGTTTTGCATGTTATTTTCAGAAAATTTTGCCTAACGAGTAATCCAATACTTTATTTTTTTAGCAATAGTCAATTCACCTGGTTTAAATTAAATTAGAAAAAGATTTTTTAGGCGATGGAAAAAGTTGATAAGCAAAATATGGTTATTTGAATTGGTTAAAATTATGTAAATTTTGTGTAATAGGAGTAAAATAAAAATAAAAAATAAGAGTTGTCTATTTTTTTAATCTAAAATACGAGTATTGTCAAACTTTGATATCATTGAATATATTACTCACTCTGGATTTAAAAGTTTGATATACTTTCTTTTTTTGGATGTATTTAAAAATTTACTACATTTTTTCATTTTGATAAATTTTTCCTTTAAAAATACTCAGCTACCCCTATTTTTCAAATTTTATCTTTTCTTTCATATTTTTCCACATCCTTTCTTACTCTTTGTACATTATTCATACCCCAACTATTTCATCCTTAAATAGGTAGTATGTCTGAACGTTTCGTAGTAACTTTTAAATACACTGTAATATGAAAGTAGTAATGCTACGATTGATAGTATCTTGTAATCATGACCGTAATTACTCTATCTTGAAGAGAAACGAGGTACTTCTATTTTCAAATTTCACATTGATTTTTACTTCAATTTAGATTAATTTCTGAAAACCTATATTATCCTTATTTTACCTATTGATTGACATGACCATTACGGTAAAAAATCGTACTCGTATTCAATATCAAAATTCAAAATCCTTGCACATTATTTGTTTGATACCTACAATATTAATAAAAAATTCTCCCAAATAAGAGTAAATTAAAATATAGAAAAACTGTACAAATAGGGTTCATTGTGTATTATTCCCAAAATATAATTTAATTTGCTCTAGTAAACGTACAAAACTTCCCTAATTAGGATTGAATGTGTCCTACTTATTAGAAAGAAATTGTGGTGATAATAAACTAATATACTAAGATTTAGGTCTACTTCTCCTACCAGATTGATCTCTTATGATGAAACCTTGAAACTTAACAAGGTATCAAAATCAAACCGATACATAGGCATCGTGAAAGCCCCTATGAAAAATGATGACAACGACAAAAATGACAACAATGAATTGATGAAAAATGAATGATGGCATATTCAATACTGAAGTGTCTACTTGTGATGGAGGGATCAAAATATTTCTCACATCCGTAAAATTTGAAAAGAATGGCATAAAATTCATTTCCCTCTCAGCTAAACCGATCTACTGCATGCCTGCATCTACTAGCAGCAATCAACGATTGAGCAAAGGAGACTACACCAGCGTCGACTCCTCTCTCTCGATCTTTGTACGCCTTTCCTCTTCGCATCTTTCTTCTTCTTCTCCATCAAACTCTCCATCCCATCAGCAATGGCGGCAACGATTCATTACAAATAAATCACAGTTACATGACTTACATCATGATTTTCCAAGTATATGACCTTGTTAGTCATATTTTTGTCCATATTTAAAAACAGTCACATTTTTGAAAATTGGTTTAATTTAGTAACATTTTTGAACTAATAAACTACTATATTGATATTTGAGGCTCATCCTCCTATCAAATGTCCTTTTAGGTTGTAAATTCGAATCTTAACATTTAAATTTTGCTCATATTTAAAGAATTTTCATATTCTATTATTATCGTTGTTCTAAAAATCGCTCTATGCGGTGGTCGGGCGTCCCGATTTTAGTCTAAGAATTTTGAAAAATTGGTTTGACACCTAAGTGAGTAGTTAGTTGGCCGCACAATTCTTTTTGCTAGATTTGTCTAACAATTCTTTTGCTTTTTTATTTCATTTTTCTAGGACATATATACTCTTACCTTTAACCATGGGTAGGAAAGAGGTACTTGTAATAAATTAAGATAGGAATATGTGTGTTTGTATTTACTCTTAAATTTGTTACGTAGTATTATTTAGAACAAATTCCACTTTTGGTCATACAAAAATCGCACGAATCCCATAATTGGTCCACGTCTTTGACTTTGACCACTTTTGGTACATGACTATTGTGTTTTCGCTCATGTATTGTCCTTCCGGAATGTTTCCAGTGGTACATGTGGTCAAAAAACATTAGTCAAGTATCAAAAGTGGACAAAGTGAATGACGCTGACTAAATGTGGATTTGACACAAAACTCATATGATCAAAAGTGGAATTAATTCTATTATTTAACACATACTCCCTCCGTCCGATTGGAATGTTCCCGCTTTTCTTTTTTGGATGTCCCGTTGGAAAGTTCCCATTTCTCTAAATGGAAAGTTATCCTACATCAAAACAGGGTCAAACAGTGCAAAACAGTGTCAAACAGTGTCGAAACAGTGTCAAACAGTGTCGAAAGAGTGTCAAAACAGTAAAATTTATCCCCTGGTAAATTTATTTTCTTAATATGTGTGTAGGTCAAACCAGGAACATTCCAACGGGACGGAGGGAGTGGTAGATACAACATTCATCCCACTTTATTTGTCTTGCATTAATTTGACACAATTATTAATAAAGTGGTTGGAAATTTAAAGTTGTGGTTAGATTTGAGTATATATATGATAAAATAAAATGTTGTAGATCACATACTTTTTCAAAAAAAAACATGAAACCTATTTTGTGACGTTCCAAAAAGGAAAGTAAGAGAAATAAAATGGGACAGTACGTAGAACATAATTAAGTTAAGTGATTAGTTATAATATGCTTTGTATTATGAATGAATGTGACAGTTCGATCAACTTATCATTGAAGCATGATAATATGCATGTGTTAAGGTCCGGGGTTCCATCCTAAAAAGTCAACCTGATAGCAGGAGTAACCCAAAGCTTTATATAGTATGTTATTGTTTTATAGCTTTCTGGTGTGAGACAAATACTTCAACACACCCCCTTAGCCCAAACAGGGTTAAACAATGTTATGGTGTGTAAATGGGCCAAACATACCCTTAACAAGCGCTACCCTTAATCATAGGTGCTAAACAAGTAGTTAAATCACATCCGGACTTGGCTTTGATATCATGTTAAGACTTGAGGTTTCATCTTAAAAGGTCAACCTGATAGGAGGAGTAGCCCAAAGCCTTATATGGTGTTTTATTGTTTTCTAACTTTCCGGTGTGGGACAAATACTTTAACAATATGTGTATGTAGATACCGACACACAGACACAATATTATTTATCATACGTATGCAATATTATTTATAAAAATATAATTTATATAGCACGATTAGTCACCGTCTAGGCGCTGGACTGACGTAATATTATCGTCTAATGTCTTTTGTAGAATATTGATTATATTGTAGATAAGCAAATTATAATGGACGACGAGACCAACTAATGGTATTATGGTTAAATTTGAAATCAAACTAGAACTTCGACCGTGG